TGACCAATCTAGCATTGGACAGTGTATCAACAAGTCTCTATAAATATAATATCAACAGGTCTTGCTAACGTTAAAACCATGAATAACCTATTATGTTCCGCTCTGTTGATTTCAGTTATACTTATTCTTACAGACGCCGGTAAATATTTTATTTTTTATCTAAAAGTTGCTTTATGAATCTAGAGTTAAAGTTTGTATATCTGGGCGAAATTTATGTTAGCTTTTTTTATTGTGGGAAGAGTCCGAGTCAGAAGAAATTTACTCAAGACAACTTTCTTTTCAGCAGCATGGATAACTAGCTTAAACACATTTTAAATCATCTTTGTCTGTAAATAGTAAATTAACATGTAGTTCTTGAGACAAATACTTGATGATATAATTGTCGGGGGGTAGTGTATCGAGTCAGAAGTAAATAATGGCAACAAATAATATCAAAATTAAATTTACAGGTTGTATAGACGTATCCTAATATAACAGACGCAAATTTTGATAAAGATTGCAATGGAAATGTAGTCATTACATGTCGGAAAGGTTTCAAGATGATACAAGGGCTGGAATGTGTTGAGGAAGAATGGAGATATCAAAACCCAATATGTAAACGCACAGGTAAGATAATTTTAAATACTTGAATTACAAATAAACAATATTAGCTTTGACACATCAAATCACTCAGTGAAGAGTTTATATCACCTTCCTCGATACATGTTATAATACATTATATAGTGGAATTCAAATCAATAAACTTCATGAAACAGTCTGGAGAGCTTAACATCTTTAGATTAAAGATTATTATTGTAGCGCGATCATTTCTTCAATCAAAATAAATAATTAACAGATTACCCAATTTGATTGATTTTCGTGGCTTGTATCTTATGACCTTGACTTTTGTTAATTTATCTTCATTTTTGTTGAACGATAATAAGTCACTAAGCTATTGCCATTTAAAAATTGTCATGTAACCTAATATACATAGAGACAAATATTCTATTTACCCAATTTGATTGATTTTGGTGTCAATGGAAAGTACAATCGATTGTACTATCGCAAACTTTGTTTCTGAGCGCAAAAGAAGTACAGTTTTCATCTTTCATCTGATTTAAATGAATTTTCGTGTGATCATATATATTGATGCGATCTTGGACAAGTTGTCGATGAACAGTTTCGATTAACCACCATTGACTAAAAATTCGTAAAAATAGTTAAAGATGGGTTTCCTTATATTTTAGTGTCAAATTTAGCAAACTATTTGATTAATTGGTGTTTCTAATGAATTATCATGTATTCTTAATCATATCATTATGTCCTTATTGAATATAATTAAAGATGGGTTTCCTTATAT